TGCCCATGTCACCCCCATTCTTTTGATTTACAGTTAAGTAAGTTTTTGCTGTGGTTTGTCAGACAATTACCAAGAAACTCTGAATAGTTACCTCATGCACACTGAACCACTGACAGCTGAAAGCCTAGTGCGGGTATTATTTAACCTACACTTTCGGCATCCCTTTAGTGTGTGGAGGGGTTAAGTGAAATCTGATATCTGATGACATTTTGCCTTCATTGCATGAGGATTACACTTTACAAACATGACTGGAGTACAGTATATATATCTCTGCCATGACTACAGCAGAACCTGTATACCATAACATAGACACAGTTAACAGTTGAATCAGCTCGGGCACAGAGAACACACTCTCCTCTCCAAACAGATATTGTTTGTAGTATGTAGATTACAGTAGAGAAAACTAGAATACAAGGGCAGGGAGACTGATACCTTATCTGTGAAGTGTCAGACAGATAGTAGCTGATGTACCATCAGAAGTGCAAAGTAACAGCTTTGAAGTTTTGAATGCTTGCATACCTTGTCATAGAGTGTTTTAAATGGTTAGCTATTGACCACCAATACATGCATAACTTAATTACTGATTAAAAGACAAATCAGATACTTTTACACTGTTATCAGAAGAGATATTTTAAGCATCACTCATTCCTTGGTTGCCTGTTCCTTTACACTTTCCTCTTATGAAAAAAGATATTGGCCTCATAAGCTCAAAATTGAGATATTTCCTGTGTAGAAATAAAGGATTATTTTTATTTTACAGGTAGACATAAAATGTAAAATCGTTTTTACAATATCACATTTTCTTAATCCCAAGCCCAAAAAAAATCATTTCAGAACTTCAATCAAGTCAAGGACAATTACAAATCCTTACATTTGGTATCAAATTCTAGAAAATCAATATTGTCTTTTCAGTATTGGAGTCAGTGTTACTTATATCAAATGTGATGTGGAAGTATACTAAACACAAAGAAAGTCACTTTGTTTTGAGGCCTAATAAATCATATTTAAATACAATTTACAAGGCTTCAATGCAGGTGACTTCTTTTTTTTCCCTAAGTGTTAAAATCAACGGGATGTCTCTTTTTTGTTCAAACTAGGGATCATAGCAAAGACAAGGTTGACCTTTTTTTTTAGAGTACTGTTTTGCTGATTTATCAAAAAAAATGAACAACCAAAAGCAAGCAAATAAGAAAGTGCATCAGGTCCATTCATTTTAATGTACAATGAACCAGCAACTAACCACCGACAGATATTTGTAGAAAATAAGCCAAATTTGAAAATTCTGAAGAAAAAAAAGAATATAAAGAACAAAATGACACAGAGCCAAAAGATCTGGTGTCCTTCAAAGAGCTGTAATTTCCATTTCTAGATTACAGTATAATCTTTATAGCACAAGGTTATCATTTGGTAGCATTACAGAACCACAAAGACCAGATAGTCTGCCAACTCATTTAGAATAATATTTCCTTTCTGCTACTGCAAAGGCTCTGCAAACTTTCCCTGTATAGAGTTAATTCTGGTAGTTAGCCGCTTGTTTTTTCCCAAGCACAAAAACATTCTAGGAAAAGAAGAGTTCATGTAAAAGTGACTCAGTACAAAAATAGTCTGCAGGTTAAAGCAATGTGGAAAAGAGAGCCTGCAAATTATCTTTTTATGTGGTTTGAATTAAGGAGGGAAGCATTCTGGCAAATGTAGGAAATTACTTTTTCAAGTAAAAGACAACACAGAACATCAAAAAAGAACGTCTAGATTAAAAAATATTGATCTGTACATATCATCAGAAATTGTTATGAAGCAACAGTTAAAGTGGATTCATACTTAGTGGCCTCACATAAAATCAAAATCTTAAACATTTCTTACTTGCTAAATAAGTGTACACAATATAAGCACAGAGTCGTCATGCCCATTCAAAACGTATGGGTGTGAGGAATTTTGCATGATTTAACTCAGACTTTCAGACAGATCGAGAAATAATAACCGTTTTGCTTTTGAGTATAAATGTTACAAAATGCAGAAAAGGGCATCACTCTTCTTTTTTTTTTCCTGAGAAGGACCCTTGACCCCGCTCTTACTTAGTCCCCAGAATGTTGACTTGCATGATGCCCCTGTATAAGCATATATTAAAAAAAAAAAAAAGGGGAGCTGGTCCTGCTATGTCCATGATTGTTCCATAGGTGGCAATGGAGGATGTGGACGGCCAGTACTAGTAAGACAGCAGAGAACTCAGCCTTTAAGAAGTGCATTACTTTTGAAATTACCTTTGAGTATTTATCAGTGTGTTTTATTTTGAGGCAAAATTATGAAATTGACCCAAATTCTATAGTGAAGTGAAAAAAACATTAGCAAAGAAGCAAAAATGTTTCTCTTTTTCATCAATATAAAAGTAGTTCACAGTCAATGAATGATATCTATTAGTATATTGATTTTTAAAAGAGAGAATACATTTTGATCCTGATCCATCCTCGAACAGAACCCTGAACCCCAACCATCTTAAAGAGTATTGTTCTGCAGCTCACCATTGACACTGTAGTTTCCAGGGTACTTAACCCATGCTGTCAGGTCCACTATGACATACAATGGACTTAGCTGGAGAACACTGATGACAGTATGAATGATACCATCATATTAAATGTATATCTCCTCAATACCTACACAGTAACAAAATAAGAGGACGCAAAGTGAATTGTTTAAGTAAATAATGCAAAGACAAAAACTCAAAGAATCAACACTTTAAGTGATTCCTTTGCTCCTACTAGTCTTCTTCCTCCTTCTAGTATCAAAATGACAAATGATTAATAATACTGAAGAAATTATTTCTGAATAAGCTTTACATTTATAAAAGCAATTCCGACCCAAACACCATATTCTTGATTCAATTTCATAAAAAATTGAAGACAATGACGAACCCTTTGACTTTTCTGTCGTAAAACAATAAAAAATGTTGTTGCAATTGTTTCCCAGAAACAGCCACTTTGTCTGTGATCCCATTAGGATAAACCCAGGGCTTAAGTATTCCAGTATTACTTACAACATGGCATGTGTGGGATGTGTTATATGTGTTGGTTAAAGGGAGTGGGGGGACTCTTTGGCTGGATTTGGATAGCTCTGCTAACATTTTTTTTTTTGTTATCCGTACATGTTCTTTAACACTTAAATATGAAGAAGTTTTTATAAGTAAGAGGTGAAAATGTGGTGTTTGTGTACGTAAATAAAAACAAGGATTTGTTAATCGACTGTTAGGGAAGCCCCTTACTCATCATTGAGCTGACTCAATATATTCTCTTAATAACCAAACACCAAAAAAACCCATCTCTTCTGATATGAAGCCAAAATATTTCATCACTCTGTGACGTTTGTTTTGAACACCCCCCCCCCCCCAGGTGTGTTTGACGTGAGGACAAACTAGCGTAGAGACGTCTTAGAGAGCAACGGAGGCTGTGACGAGCCCAGCCGTCACGGGCCTGTGTGTGTCTTGTCACTTAAGTAAAGCCGCCGTAATCCTGTAAGGGAGGATGAGTAGACAGACATGTGATGCCCCACTTGTTTCTTAGGTAAAGGGTGGTGTAGAGAGGGGGGCTGGCAGGCATTACTGACCAGATGGACAGGCTTTGTAGTGTGTGTGGGTGTGGGACTGATTAGACACAACAAGTACTGATACTATTTCAAACGTGTTGTTCTAAAAACATCTTGATGTTTCTTATAACTGATTAAGAGACAGTGCCAGGTGCACATTTTGATAGGTTCAGGTCTCAGTCAGTGGGGCGTTTCATTTTTTTTGTTGCGCATGAGCAGCAACAGTCAATCCGGCCATCAAACTCAATTAGCAGAGACTTCCTGTCCTCTTCCTCAACCCCCCTCCGCCAGATTAAATCCATTGCATCGTACCTAAGGACTGCACACTTTGCCCTCCTTAAGGACGACACACATTTTACCGAGTGTGGTTGACTTACTGAAAAGCGGAGTTAAGAGGTAGTCTGTCCATGAGTTTTTAATGGGTGGAGATGAGTGCCACCAGTAGCACCAGACTGAGCCCCAGTCCCAACTTACTGCAGGTGAACGAGCCAAAGCGATATGGCTCTACGTTGTCGCTGGAGGAGAAATGTGAACAGTCTTTCTTCCTCTTTTACTACTACAGGATGGAGGACGAGGCGGTGCTGGACCGGGGGGCGTCCTTACTAAAGCACATGTGTGACGAGGAGGAGGTAGAAGGTAAGTTCACCTGCTTCTGTACCTTAAAATGTATCTGCTTGTGTTAGGAAAAAAAGATTTTACTTTACTCAGAAATTCAGTAAACTCTCATATTCTGAGTACACAAACATGTTTGGGGCCCTTTTCTCTTTTTCCTTAACAACCTAGTTCTTCTTAATTGTTTAAGTTCAAAGTGAGGCCACTCATGAGCGAAACAGGAAGGGCGAGATTAAGCTTTTTAGAGGCTGCCAAATTTCGCTCACTTCCTGCACGTAGACTGTGACGGCTCACCTGTTTTTTGCGAGCTGGCATGGGAAAGATGTAGAACGCTAAGCATGTGATCCTGTGTTTACCTCACTAATCCCTACAAAGACATACAGGAAAACAAAGGAGAAAGGACAACAACCAACCAGTGTTCTTGAACGTCTTTTTATTCTGTTGGTTTTTATCTTGCTTTTGAGTTTGTATATCTAACTTTTACTCACTAATCATTTCCTCGCCAACTATCTAATAAATGTTCCAATTTTACCATGCTGCTGATGGTACTTTATGTTGCCGAGACAAAAGGTTAGGTTTAAATGGTGATGACATCAGTGTGCACCACACGTCGCAAGTTTCTTGGTTCACGTCCAGCAGATTAAAGAGGCAGACATTGGGCCAGTTTAACCATCCAAGAGCCTGATGTTTTGTTTTGTTGTTTTGGCCAATATATTCAAAGTGCATCCAGCACCAACCTTTTTTTCTGTTGATAACTACGATAACTTCCAGACCAATATAAGAACAGAAACCCAGATTCATTTTTTTTTTTTTTTACCTGACTTAACCTAGAAAACTGAAAATGAACCTTTCAAACTGTGCATTACAAATTCACTTTCTAAAAGAATCTATAAAGTTGATTGCCTAAAGGTCATTACTACTACAGTAGAAAATGTAAACTTTGTGTACAACAGATCATGTATCATTACAAACAAGCAGCCATTGGTTTTTCATTTGTTTCTGTACAACAAATATCTATTACACTCTTGAAACACAAGTTTCATAGCAGTCAAAATGGAGTCAGCATTATTTACTCTACATATTAGTGACCAGATATAAGGTGCAGACTTCTTAAATCTTAAATAATCATGTTAAAAAGGTATTGTATATTTTTTTGATGAATTTTTGAGACAACCTTCAGAAGTCTACTTATTGAGTTATGTATTATCCTTACATTTCTGAAGTAATTGTTGTAAATAAGGAAGTCCCAAGGCTATGGATTTTAAAGTCAATTCAACACAAATTTAAATTCAGACTAAAGTTAAGAAATTGAGCCAGATTTATTTAACATTGCAAAATAGGGATCACAGCGTCTGAAGGTAAATTATGTCAAATTGGTTTGCCGAGTGTGGCTGACATTAGCTGAGCTAGCATTGCCAGACTTTCGTGCTTCCTAGAAGGTTGATATCCATCAGTCTGTGCTGGATATACATTGCTCTGGTTGAGTGTTTTCATTCCAGTTATGTGTTACCTGACACAGCTTACATACAACTTATCTCCATTTTCTAGATCTAAATAGACTGCTCTGAAGAGATGCCATTTGGCTGGCTGATAAGACATCAATTTAGTAACTGGGATGTACACATGATTACTCAACAGTGGAATTTGCACAGCAGTGTCCCTCGTGCTGGAGAGGTCAACATTTTGTCAGGTGTCACCTCAGCTTGAACCCTGCTTCAATCTCTCCAACTTCCTGTGCACAACCAGCATCTCAGCTGTGTCTGCGTGTGTCCTTGTCTGCTCGCTAAATCTCTTTTTTTTTTGAGTCTCCACTGAGGTCACAATCCTCCCCGCTGCTCGCTCACTGCCAACAGCCTGATTTAAAGACAGTCTGAAGTCTGACTGATAAAAGAGCAACAAGGGATGAGTTGGCTTGACATTTCTCACATTGTACAAGGTAAAAGTCAAGGATCTGTTGTCCGAAAGCCAATTCATCTCTCTCTGACACGGATTAGTCTTTGGCTTCTTCCTGAGCAAAGCATTTGGTGTCAAACTCTTTATAACAGACAGTGTTAAGGCTCAAGATAGACGGTTCAGTAATGTATATATTATGTGACGTGACCTGCTACAGCTAATTTAGAAGTAAAGAGGGAAGGCAATTATTTCTTCTGACTAAAAGTCAAATTACAGGACCCCTGGTTTCATTTAACGATACATTTATAAAGCAGTGTTCTATTAGCATGCTGTCAGTGCTGTGTGGCGTGTTGCCACCCTCCCCACTGTTCTGGGCAGGTCCCAAGCGGCCACAGTTACTGGGGAAACTGGCGGTGGCGTTGCCTCTCCTCAGAAATCTTGCGAGCTAAACAAACCTCCAGGCGAACACAAGAATTGCATGTCATTCAGAGTGTGCTTGCGGGCAGCTCCAAAAGAACTTCTTCTTCCTCCAAAAAAAGGAGAGGAAGTCGTTGCACAATACTGCTCGGGCAGTGTGCAAATCTTCCTTTCCAGTTCCTTGACTTGACCATTTTTTATTCCTTCACCTCCATCACTCTCTTCTCATTCTTTCGCCTTTTTTCTTGTTGTGGTTCAGCTTGTGCAAACGTCTTCACCCTCTGCTTTATTGCTCATCTATCACCTCTAATAGCTCTGTGGTCCTTATTTCTACTGTCTGTTCTCTTCTTTGTCGCTATCCAGCCATCTGCTTCTTGGTCCTGTGATACCCACATGCTGGATTACAAACCCTATTGCTTTCAATGGTCTACGCTTCTTATAAATTAACTCAATTTATTTGGGTTTTGTCCTTGTTGTTGTTGTTGTGTTGTTGTGTAACTAGAAGGACTTTGTTACAGATAAAGAGAGTGAAGCTATTCGTATTACTGAATAAGTGCTGTTCCATTCCCAACATTCATTTTAGGCAGTTATAAACTGAGTGTTTTAGCTTTAAAATTCACAAAACAACAAGATAAATAGTGCATATTGAAACCCCAGGATTTCTGTGCCTTCTTTAGTACTGATACTTCGCCCTTTCTTTAAAACTCTGAATAAAGTAGTTTCAAGTATAAAGCTGGTGCTACAGTAACTCGGCTTGTTTTTAGATTCTCAGCCTTGTTAGTTAGAAAATCTGTGTGGCTCGAAGTTGGCTCATTCTGTGTTATACTGATTTCTCAGTTTCCCTGATCTGTTTCTTGTAGAGCAGATAAATTCTGTTTTTATTGTCATCCTTTCTGGCTGGCAATGCAGGCATGGTTAAGCTGTAAAAGATTGATGTTGTGTTTTTATATTTTACCGTAAACAGGGACCAGGTACCTTCTTTGTTGAACCTAAAAGCCTTGAGAGCAGCAGCTCTGCTGTGGGCAATGTGGGTCTGTTTCTCCTCATACAGAGTGTCTCCTCATTTGACAAAGTTAAACCAACAGAACAATTGAATCTTCGACTGAAGACGAAGATTACTTGCAATTTTGAATGTTCTTCTCGATATTCCGTTGTCACATCAGATGATCCGTGTATGACGAGGCTTATTGATGATGAGGCGTATCACGACGATAATCCTAAACTAAGACTGCATTACAGCATCGGCAGCAAGCAGCTCCATGAGTTTAGTTTAGTTTGACATGAGTGTTGCACATCAATTGGTGCCTTTACGGGAGGGACTTATGTACAGCGGACCTATCTCTCTCTCTCTTGCTTGTTCCCGCTGTCTCTTTCTCAGTCTCTCTCCCCCCCTCTCTCTGTTTCGAGATCACTCTTCTGGCAATTTATGAATAAACAAAAAAGGTCAGTAAATATATTTGGGTGGCCATAAATATAGGTTCCTTGGGCGGCCTGCCCAGGTATCATCTATGCGTAGGAAACACTAAGCATTGTTAAAAGGAATGGAACATTTGTCAGAGAGAAGTAGAAAGTGAAACTTAATAAAATCTTCCTTCTTATTTAAAGTTTTCTTTCTGCTCCACGTTAGCACTTGGTGCTGAACCGTTGGTGTCAGTGAATTTAGATGAACCCTGAGAGAACAAGGCATTGTGGTACAAGTGAATAATGAATGCTGTTGTGCTTCAAGAGAGATCATTGTTTGTGGTGTTGAGGGGTTCAGACACTTCCTGGTCGAGTCATGTGCAGTGCTTGGCTCAGCGTTACCCGTCGTCTTTCAAAGGCAACATTTGAAACTGATTGTGTGGAGCCTTTTGTTTCAGATGGACTTTTTTTTGTAATCTGTGCAAGGTTGCATTTGAAGTCTCAGGAAAGATAAACTTTGGTGGCCTTTTCCCAAAAATACCAATTCATTACTTGAATATCCCTATATCAGCAGGTCCCAGTAGAGTAGATATTATAATAAAATATACTTTTTTTTCCCAACAATATCAACACAACACCAAATAATATGTGAATTAATTTCCCCTAGAATCTTGACCTACACTAGTAATAAGTTCAGGTATTGCATGTTGGTTAGGAATAACTTCACTGAATCAGATAACTCGCCACAATGTCTAAAAAGAGATTCAAAGCACATTGGTATTATTGGGTTACTGCTTCAAGCAAACAGACTGGTCTGCTTGCAGGGTCCAACATTAGTACCTACCACTTACCAAATGCAGGTAAAAATCTAAATTGGTTTGTTTGAATAAAATAATGGAAGTTGGGTGCCAATGGCAGGTGCCCCCATCCGTCCAAAACATTATCTTATTTGATGACATCTTTTATATTTAAACAACTTGGTCCATCGCTGCATGACCATCAGTAATTGTAACACACTCTTTTACTGACACTTGCTGTCCAACATCGGCTCACTCCTGTTTTTAGTGAGCCCATTTCTTCAAAACTGTGTGTTTACATTTTCACATTTTCAAGTTGTGTTGCAACGTTTGGTCAGTATCCTTAAGCTTCCAGAAAACATGCAGAATTATGGATGTAATTAATATAGAGAACGGGCAGAAGTTTTCATCTGTATGTATATCGGACGTAGAGCTTCATTAACCCCTTTATTGGGACTGGTTTGCTAAGGCAGCTAATAGTTTCCATATTGTGGAGACCACCACTATAAGCCTTGCTTCCATTGCAAACTAGACTACATTAATAAACTGTACCACTGTCCCTGTGGGAGGCAGAGGAGTAGCTTTACACCTGACAAATGTAACAGAAGAGAAAGCTGTTTTTTTTTAGCAGTAAAGGAATTAGGACACAGATATTTTAGTAAAGAAAAGGTAGTATCTTACTATGAGGTGTCGAAATAAAGCAAAATCCCAATAATAGCATAAATAATAAAACAAAATTAACATGAAGTACATGTTAATTTTATTTCATCTATTTCTGTATGTAGAGCATAAATTAGTTAAAATGATTAGAACTAAAATATTCTGACAGAACCATAACTTAAGGCTTACACGTTGTATGGAATAGGATGTGTCAGAATTATATCACTTGATTATACGAATGCATGCAATTGATTTATCAGTTATTGATGTAATGTATTGATTTAATAACTGATTAGATTTCACTACTTTGTGAACTACTTTAATCCATTTACAAAGAAGTACCATTGCCTCCTCTGAAATGGATCAAGTATCAAAATAGAAACGCAGAAGTAAAGTAAATATCCTCAACAAAATTTGCCACTACAAATCCCCTACTAAACTAAATGCATTTTAAGATGTTCCACAAGTGTTTTTTAGACCATTACATCTTAGTTTTGGGGCAGATTAAAAATATTTTGGCCAATAAAATGTTTTGGCCTACCAGCCATTGGCAGAAAGGGCCCCAAAGTTAATTTTATATCCTGTCTGCTTGACAGTATTGACCCTAAACTACCCAGCTACATGTTAAACTGCACGTCCTGTTGGTATTGTGCCATCATCATGACAGAGATATACAGTCATGCAAGCAGTCATGGGTTCTTCTCTGCTTCTCTGCTATGTCCTACTTCTTTTGTCCAAATATTTGTTTTGACAGTGAACTGCAACCTCAATCTTTCTGCTCTGTGCCTCTGCCTTGAGAACTCTTAGAATGTTCCATGTTTAAGTGAATGACATGGGGCCAAGACGAGGCTATTTTGAGTATAAATAATAAGCTTCTAATTTTGCACTTCCTGATAGGGATTTTGCGTCTTGATTGCTATTTTTTGCGAGTCTTCTGAAATCTTAAAAAAATCTGGATCTTTAAAAAGACAAAAAGAGAATTCACCTGCTGTTTGTTTTTGCTTTCACAGGCCACCACACCGTTTACATCGGCGTGCATGTGCCCAAGAGCTATCGGCGTCGGAGGCGTCACCGTCGGAGAACCGGCCACAAGGACAGAAAGGAGAAGTTGACAGAGAACACCTCTGACAAGTCGGACACGGAAAACAACGATGAGGCCAGCAACAGCATCCTCAAACCTCTCAGTAAGTTCTGATGGACTCCTTGTCAAGGCTGATTAGTGGTCATGTCCGTCTTGGCTGAAGGCTGCTCTCTCTTTTTCAGAAAAAAAAAAAACCCTGTTACTCCCTGTGACCCCAAAGATTTGCTGATTCTACTTAGTGGCCAGAAATAGCCGTGCTTGTCGTGCTGATTGACAAGTCTGTTTGGACAGAGCAGTGTGAATTTTCATTGGAAGTAGCTCGCTGCTCAGATATGAGCCTCTTGGGTTCAGAGTGTAAGTGCATGCCTTCCTGTGCTTTTGTCCTTGGTTGTACACATAAGTGTATCTCTCTTTGTGTGCCAGTGGATGTGTGAGCATTTATGTTCTCGGTATGCCGAAGCTTCTTCCATCCCCTGACGTGCAAAGAACCATTTGCCCTCAGGCTATGCCGCTGCAATCTGCCAGAGCTTGGACAAAGAGCTGAGGTCAGTTCAAGAGAAACTAGAGAGTGAAACCGATTAGAAATAGGTTACACTGGGTGACTGGGACTTTGAATGTTTGTTAAGTCATATTCAAGTTAAAGTTTGAATTTGACGAGCACTGTAAACAACATTATGATAATATCATCATTTATAGATGTCTTGTGGAGTTAAATATCACACAGCTTATGGTGATTTTTACATAGTGTGAATCTTCCACTCTTTTTAATAAAATAATGAATAAGGTTTGGGCTCCTCCAAGGGCCCTCAAGAGAAATCTGCTGGAGTTGCAAGACAATTAGAAATTAGATGTTGATGAAGAAGCATAAATAGCTCAAATATTTCCTTTTTTTTTTTTTACATCTCAAGGCCTCTAAAATCTATTCAGGTGAATCCAAAAACAAGTTTTCAATTTGGAACACAACACGACCATGCACATACAGATATGAAATGATTCTCTGCTCTGTTTTGACAATGTCATCATGTCATGTAAAAGTGTAAGGGTCATTTTCAGCTGTATCAGCAGCAGTAGCTAAACTATGCAGCAGAAAATAATATTGTACATTTTATATTCTAAAGCTCTAAACATTAGGACATGCTGACCAGTCTGACCAGTTTACTATCTAGGTGTGTTTACTTCCCCTGCTACTCTCTGCTGCTGATGCAGTGCAAATGCCAAAGCGCTGTCCCTTATTAATGCTAGCATGAGGAAATCAAATGAGGTATTTGAACTGCCCATACTTCACAACAAGTAAAGGGTTACAAGCTTTATAATAAAATGTTTTAAGTTTGGAGAAAGAAAAAAAAGGGCAGATTTCCTGAGTACAAATCTACACATGTGACATTAGTCTCCGTTACAATAGCTTATAATGTCATTCCCTCTTTTAAATCCACTACTGAGGTTTCACCCCTGATATCTCGAGAGAATTATATCATTTTACACACACCATCCTGCACATGAATTGACAAAAAATACCGAAATACGCCAGAGCTGGATCTTACAATCTGAACACATCACTTGATGCGGAGGATTTTCTTCAGGACATAAATCCAATCAGTGAATAGATTACAGCCAGCCCATATGTGGCTGCTGACTGTGATGATGCATACAGTATTCAGTAAAAATTACGATCTAAAGATGTATGTTGTATGTTTCCTGATTACAGTCAGAAGTATTGAGTCAACCTAAGGGGTTGCTAAGTGTGTATGAAGCTTTCAACGTGGCTAAATGTTGATGTTGAGTTCAGTGTCAAACATATTGTTAGCAGTCTGAGAGAGGAAAAGCAGTGGATTCTAAACGTGTCTGTAACCAGCTCTTATAACAAACTACTTTTGGGTTTATTCTTATCAATGTATGACCAGTTGTCACAAGTTAATAATTCCCCTAAAAGGTGAGCTTTTCTATCAGACATGTGTTCCTTTTTCACTTTGTTTCAGGTTTTTTAAGAGGCCAAAAGCAGAGCTTCATTGTATTAAGCAGAAATATTTCTATTAAGTAACAATTTTATCAAAGGCATCAAAGAAGAAACTGATCAAATATGAAGAAAATATAAAACACAAAATAAAAAAAAATAGGAAGATGTTGAAAGTACAATGTCATCAACTACAATATGTCTACCTATACCTCTTCGTGTGCATAAAGCCACCTTTCAGATTCATTCTAAAACCCCTTTGTGGGCCTTGTCTAGATGTGTACCAACTGGAGAACAATGACATTACAGAATGATAAACAAAAAAGGTTACAGAATATAATAGTGGATCTGGCAGGTGACCCAAATCTGCAAATTTTAGGAATGTTCGGCTGTGATTGCTGATTGGCCGGTCTTCTCAAGAAAAGCCGATTCCATGCCATTCTAGATTTACACACACGCCACAGGTTTCATGACATGTGCACAGCAACACCATCACTAATCGGACAGTGACCAAAGTGTCATTTTATAGAATGACATCTTGAAGTTGAATGTTGCTTTATCACTCAATCGAAAAAATGACGTCCAAAGTTAATCATTGGTTTCATGGTTATGACCTTTCATAATAAGCAGTCACTATTACTTAGACCATTTGCTGCAGTTCATTCCCTCTCTCTTTCCTTTTCCCTTCATGTCAGTCTTAAGCTGTAATTGTCCAGAAAGACAAAATTGTCCAAAACTAATCTTAAGAAAGAAAAGATGAGGATCTCCCTGTATTTAAAAATAAGAGGGGTCACAGAGAGGACAGCATCTGGGTGTTGTTCTTTTTGGTGTGCTGGTAAAGTCTTATCTCTTTGTTGATGCACTTCATATCTGACGTTCATTTATTCAGACTTATGATGGATGTTTGAATGTACAAGATGAACAAGCAACTGCCTGCTTGTGTCTTGCTTTCCCTATTTCGACGTAGACTCAATTTTCACATTCTTAACAATAACATTATAGACTTACTGTTGAAAAATAAGATCTACTATGGCCAATCAATCATGCTTTCATTAGGTCTTTACCGTGTCTTTCAAATACCCGATTTGTCTTTCAATTTTCGAAAGGTTTCCTTCTTTTAATCATTCTGAGTCTTCATTGGATAATCCCCTATAGGGATAAAGTGGAAATATAACCCACCCTCAGTTCCTTAAAAAGTGAACTCTGTCTGAGATGAGGAAACATTACATAACTCTGTTGTTAACAACAACATTTCTTATTCTCAATTCACAGAAAATCAGACGTTGTTGTCAGAAGAACTCCAGTACTGACGTAGTTGTTTACAGTTAATACTGTGGTATTCACTGGGTCATATGGGTAAAAAAGCGCAAGTGCTGTTGACTTGATAATGGCATAACACAGAGATAAAACTGTACATTTGGTATTGTTGTACAGTTCATGGTTCATTTCCATTATTTTATGTAAACAGTACACTCTGTTTTCCATTTGATTTGAACCATTTAGCACTCTGCTACCACCAGTCCCATTTTTTAGGCTTTCCAGTTATCGTTTGGTTTAGCAGAACAGGTGTCATGTTCCTACTAACTGGAAGTTTCCACAGGATCCGTGTGCGTTGCAGCACACACGTCTTGTGGAAACTGCCAGCAATAGACTCTAGCTTTAGCTAACTTGGAGAACAAGCAGATGAATATCATACTTTATTTTTTCTTTTAAAGGTAATTGGACTTTGCCAAGAGTGAAAACAAAATGTAGACATTTATTAAAACAACAACCTCGACTAAAAATAAGTAAGCAAGTATTTTATGGTAACTTGGAGGCAAAGTATCTTAAAAGTAAAGTAAAGTAAAAAAAAAAAAAGAAGCTAACTCTAGTTTAATTAATTTTTCATATGTTTTCCTGTATAAAACAAGTCTTAATGAACAGCAAGCAGACTACTGCACTACTATGAGTTACAGTAATTGTTCATAAGGATTTGTATAGGAATGGTGTCATCCAAAGCTTTTGATCCATATAAGCTCTAAATGTGATCCATATAAGCTGTTTCCATTGTTGTGACTTTCTAGAACAGCACTACATGAAACTCAAATCTGCAGGCATTTGTTAGGCATGTAAAAAGTGACAGGCATGCAGTATATACCTAATGTCCCACTGTTATTCACTGACCTCCTCTGTGTCACTCTCTGTGGGAGACATGGCCGCCACCCAGGGAAAGGCCTATGTCTGTAGTCTGACTGAAATCATCTTGTTTGGTCAGATGGACACTGCAGGAAAAACAAGTCCATCCTCCAGGCTACACGTGTGTCCACTGCAGGGCCATTTGACCTCAGCTCATTTTGATGAGAATGTTTTTCTTCCAAAGCAATCCACTTTTTTAGCTGGATCAAATGTCTTCTCAAAGTGGATTATAAGGATTACTAAGAAACTTGGTTCAGATACAAATGGGTTTGATTTCTCAAAGTCAGATAGGATGAACTGAAAGTGCTATTGTGTTTTTTTTTTCTTATTTGTTTGAACAACTAAATGTCTCTTCTTCACTGATTGATACCTACTTCTCGCAAAATTGAAAGTACAATATAGCGAAACATGACTTTTTTTTATTTGCTTCCTAATAATGTGATATTTTGCAGAAAATCAGCTCCATGAAAACATCAGTACTTGTAAAATACCTAATCATCACAGTTGTTTTTTTCCCCATTTGTATGAATCTGATACTGCCTAGAAACTTTTAATACACTGAGGTATTTTTAACTGTTATTTATTTTAAAGTCCCCATGAAACAGAACTTCGACAGTATCTACCTGCTGTGTTGTGACATATTTCCAACTAAAACAGGATAGAACCAATCATAATATAGAAGGCGAATGTTGGGATGAATATGATTGGCTTGTTAGCTTCGACAGAGCTTTTTATTGTTCAAAATAGTAAACACCCCTGAGTGCAGGATGAGTCATCAGACATTTGAAGCATTTTACAGGAAGAGAAAATACAGTGATGTGAGGTACAAAATACTCAGATAATGCTTTTTGAAATATATTTGGCAGATAACGGCAGATAAATTAACATTTTAACAATATCAATTTTTCATTTCCTGTGGACTTACTTACCCCAGGCTATGAAAGCAACATTATTACTTTCAGTGGAGTATTGTCAGT